CCCCCCCCCCCCCCCCCCCAAATCCCTGAAATCGGAACCCGCCCGCCCCAAGCAGGATTTAGGGTTTAGGGAAAACCCTTAGACCCTAAACCCCGCAACCCAAAATCCTGAAATTGGAACCCCACGCCCTAAAAGCCCTAAGCCCTAAACCCAGAACCCTAAACCCTATCAAAGCCCAATGCCCTAGATCCTACTAAACCCAAAGCCTAAACCCCACCCTGTCTAAATCCAACCCCTTAAACCCTAACCCTAAGGATCCAAGTACCCATTATTTAAGGACTTTGGGGCCTTTTGGGGTACCTAAAACCATAGATAAGGTCTACTTGGACCCATAAGGGTAAACTTTTGAAACACAGGCCTTGAGCATTTAGCTTCCCCACCTGCGCGATGTCCACCTTACTCTGCTCAGGGTTATAGGGTTTAGGGTTTAGGGCTCCATGCTCTATGTAGGTTTAGGGTTTAACAAGGGTTTTCAAGGTTTAGGATCGACTATGGTGGTTTATAGGGCCTTTTGGGAGGTTTACAGTTTAGGATTTTACGGTGCAGGGTTTGTGTATGGGCTCTCTGGCTTAGAATTCAGGTTCTCTGTTCAAAGATTCAGGAGGAAAAATGAGGTACGGTTTAGTTTTAAGCCTCAGGGCTCGGAAATACATGCAACTCTCCAATCTGCAATGAGGTTGTTTGGTTGCCCTCCCTTCCAAGGGGATGGGCCTAAGGAACACCGCTTAACAAATGCCTCGATGGAGGCCTTGCTTGAACCCCGAGATATGTTCAAAACCCCGGAAAATGCCTAAACCCTTAAACTCGAGATATGTTGAACCCTACCAACCCCAGGAAAGCCTTGCAAAAACCCGCACGAGCACCTAATAAACTCGCTGCAGAACCACTAGTTCCCAGTAGTTGAACCTCATCGAGCCCCTTACAGGCCCTTGTTGAAACCCAAAGCCCTAAGTTGAACGCCCATGGCACAAAAGATGCCCCAAACCCTTGTCCCTGAACCCTAAACCCCAAACCCTGAACCCTAAACCCTGAGCCCAAAGCTCTGGGACTTTGAAGGAAGCAAGGAGTGAAAAGGTACTTAGGGTTGATGTAGGGGAAATCATGATTGAAACAGGGTTTTGGGTGGTCCTTTTTATACTTATAGCATAACATACCCCAAACCTTATCCCAATTACTAAGGCTCCTATATTATATAAGGGTTTAGGGTTTGTAAACTGTTACTTCATCCTGGTTCCTTGAGGGAGCGGGTCCAACCACAAAAAAGCCCAGAAGCCACAACTCCAAAACCTGATTCCCAAGTTTTTGGGAACCCTTACCCTAAGGGCCCAAAGGACCTAATAATCATGTACTTGGGTTACGGAGAGTAGTTTTGTAGGTTAGTATTCAGAAGAGTAAATGATTATTAGGTACTTGGACCCTTAGGGTGATGGGTAGTTCATGGTAGTTTTCTAAATCAGGGGCACTTGCGAGGTCCCGGAAGGTACGCCACCCTTATCACAAGGACCCTAAAAGGGACCGTGATGTAGAGAACTACCATAGTAAACCGCAAAAAGCTGGAAACCGGATTGAGGACAAATAGTGTTGGGATTCCCTCTCCATTACTCTTAACGACTGAGACTTTGGGTCTTCGACTATAAACCCTAAACCCTGAACCCCAAACCCTAAACCCTAAACCCCGTCACCCTAAACCCTAAATCCTAAACCCCAAACCCTAAGCACCTAAACCCTAAACCCCTAAACCCTAAACCCTAAATCCTAAACCCCAAACCCTAAACCCTGAGCACCTAAACCCCAATAGAACTACCGCTTATAGCACTCAGATGCCCACGCCAGCCGAGACGTCTCTTAAACCCTAAACCCTAAACCCTAAACCCTAAACCCTAAACCCTAAACCCTAAGAGGCCCACGCCAGCCGAGACGTCTCGGGTCATGTCGAGCAAGGCGAGGCTGACCACGGAGCGGAAACCTCGGCTCCCTACGGCTTAGGGCTTAGGGGTCTAGGGTTTTTAAGGTTTAGGGTTTAGGGTTTAGGGGGTTACGGGGTCGAAGTCTACCGCT